CCCTGTAGGGGATATAAAAACAAACCACCAGCCTGAACTTCAGAATATTATTGTTATAGTCTAGGGCAGAGGCTCTCAACCTGTGGGTCGCGACCCACAGGAACTGTATTAAAGGGCTGCGGCATCAGGAAGGTTGAGAACCACTGGCCTAGGGAGAGACCTAGATATGTGTACACAGATAACTGTAACAAACAATGGTTAAAAGGGAAGGAAAAATAAGCAGTTTAACAAAAATAGAAAGGAAATGCCATAGGAACAAAGACAAGAGAGGGAATTAAGGTCGACCATATTTATGTTTCTTGACTTAACATGGTGCTTAAATTTTCAACCTCTGAAACAAAGCTTTTCTATTTACCTGTCCACCTAAGGAAAAATGTGTACATCTAAATCACACATTCTTGGACAAAGCCATTTAATAATTCATCCCAGTCTTTAATCTAAGCAATATTTAAGAAAATTGCTATTTCTCTCTGTATTCCAGTAAGCTACCCCTATTCTAAAACTGAGTTAATACTGTCAGAAACAGACTGTTAAATTTCTAAAGCACATGTAAACCAACAGATGGCCACAATGCATTTCTAGAAGCATCATTCATACTCACCTGAGAGCTAGAAAGCATCACAGCATCTATACACAGCTTACCCAATTTCCCTCTCAAAATTTCAGATTATGTTATTCTAGACATACATACAGTGAAACCTCTATAGAAACATTATAAACCAAGCCACAGTTATAAATGCTCTAAAAACACAAAGGCTCAGTCCCCTGCTCCTCTAACTCTCCCTCATCCAAAAGCCCCCAATATCATAGAAGTAGGGGTTGGGAAAAAGCAGTGGTGCTCCTCTGAAGATTTAAACAAGTAAAGGAGGAGGCCGGGTGCAGTGGTGACACCCAGCACTCTGGGAGGCTAAGGTCAGAAGATTGCTTGAGCCCCAGAGTGTGAGGTTGAGGTGAGCTATGATGACATCACTGCACTGTAGCCCAGGTGACAGATAGAGATTCTGTCTTAGTCAATCCATAATCAATAAGTCAATCAATCAATAAATAAAAGCTGAGGATGGAAAGGGAGGGAAAAAAGAAGAACTGTACAATAGAGAAACATGAGAAACGACGTGAAGCCAGGAAATGATGGTTAACATCAACAGTGGTAAATCATACTGGCAGCGTGCACCCTTAAGAGGGGTAATGAGAATGGCACTTGGTGTCTGTGTTCTTCCTCCCAATAACCCATAACCCCAGTCTTATCTTGACATAAATATCAGACAAATCCCAATTAGGGAGCATTCTACAAAGCACTTGACCTCAAAGTACTCCTCAAAGCTGCCAAGATCATCAAAAACAAGTTAAGTCTGAGAAATAGTCACAGCCTCAAGGTGCCTGAAAAGGCAAGAAGCCTAAATGTAATGTGATGTCATGGGTCAGATCCTGGAACAGAAACAGGACATTAGGTAAAAGCCAAAGAAATTTGGGCCCGGCACCCGTAGCTCAGTGGTTAGGGCAGCAGCCACATGCACCAAGGCTGGTGGGTTCAAACTCGGCCCAGGCCTGCTAAACAATGACAACAACAACAACAAAAATAACCAGGCATTGTGGTGGCTGCCTGTAGTCCCAGCTACTCGGGGGGCTGTGGCAAGAGACTTGCTTAAGCCCAAGAGTTTGAGGTTGCTGTGAGCTGTGATGCTAGAGCACTCTACAGAGGGTGACACGGTGAAACTCTGTCTCAAAACAAAGTAAAAAACCAAAATCAAGGAAATTTGAATAACATGTAGACATTAGTTCATAATAATGTATCAATATTGCCAACATCATCCCAATTTTTCTCTAAATCTAAAACCATTCTAAAACAACAAAAGAAAATTATGTAAAAGGAAAAAAAGTAGAGGAAGAGAAAAAGCAACGGAAAACACCAGCAGCTGCCTAAGGCTCTACATGTAGACTTTGCTAACTCCGTCTTTATGATAACGTTTCTATAAATGCACTTTCCTGAATTTCAAACAACTAACTTATAAACTAATTCTTGGAATTCAATACGTTTATAAATTAGGGTATGTAATAATTTGCCCCACTTATGCCCACTAAGTGGGCATAAGACAGGGTACAGTGTTTTTGACCCCTAGATCCTTTTGAGTGCTGTTTCATCACCATAAACGTTGTAAATCCAAACATTGTAAATAGAAAGATAACTACATATCTCATTTTTGGTTGGAAAATATTTTCTGTGATCAAAAGTAAGCTAATTTAATTCACTGATCAATTTTCTACATAGGAAAATATCATGTTTCCATGTTCACTTTTATATCACTGAAACTCCCTTATTTAATCAACTCATATTTTTGTCAATAATAAATGTTCCCAATCATAAATTCTTCCGTTGTGAATTTACTTCCAGAGCCATTATTTCTAACAAGCCAGTTTTCACTAAGATTTTACCATTCCACACATTTTTTTGGATATAGCACACCTCTCTGCCACAATTATCCAACTTTTAAATTAAAAGTTAACTTTATAGTGTTCTCTTTAATTACTGTCCATTTTACATGAATAAAGTCAGAAGTTTTTATTTTTGATTATTTATTGTCAGTTATTTCTACATACTCGTTATGACTCAGATAAAAGGCTAATGGTTTATTTCTCAGAAAATCATAAGAAAATTGTAAGCAGTTTTGTGAGACAGAGAAAGACACAGACTGATAAACAACAAGTGACAGCCAGAACCAGCAAGACAGAGTTGGAAGCTGCAAGCTTTTCTGAGTGTGCTAACCATTTACTGACCAACTCAAACCTCCCTGTAGTCAAAGGACAGTCAAAACATCCTCGGTGGCATCTGGAGTGGTCCAAATAAATGGGCACACTGAAATGTCCTCCTTCAGTCCCCCTGTTCATGCACAGGTTAAGAAGAGATTGTGACTAGGAGCATGGGTGACGGTCGGTAAAGACAAGCAAGGTTCAAATTCCAGCCCCACCAATTAACTCGCTGCATAGCCTGGGAAAGTTACTTCTCCATGCCTCAACCCCTCCATCTGTTAAATGACGATTAAATCAGACATTATATGTAAAATATTGAGTATAAAGCTTAGCATATCCTAACTTGTCAGGTGATGTCAGCATATATACGTGCAAATATGTGACTGTGAATTTATACCACACATTATGCCTTGATAAATAGTGGGCATATACTCACTTTCACTTAACTTACTGTGAATTGAAGAAGTTATTGTTCTAAAGCTGATTTTTTAAACCCCACTCTCTATGTATATAAGTATGTTTGTCTTTTCCATATTTTTACTGCTGTCCAAAAGTGATCTTCATACACTATATAACTACTGTATGCACAAAAGTGCATATAGTTAAAATCAATAGAAATACACACTGAATTAACAGAAAACACCATATAATGGAAAAATGCAAGTTTTAAAATCAGAGAGATGTGAAATCAAATCCCATTTGTCATCCAAGAGTTTGTCTAAGTAACTGAACTTCTCTGTACCTGTCTTCTCCTTGTTAAAATAGGAATAAGACAAGGATTGAGTAAAAAAGAAGCTGTGATGAGGATTAAGTAAAAAAGAAGCAAGATGCTCAGCATATGGGATACCAATAAATTTTACAAATGTGCATTCACACACAAACACATACTCCTTAACTACTGCCATCTCTGCTCCGTGGATCATATATTTTGTCTGGTGATCTCTGCCCCCATTTCCCTATTTTATGCAATATGTTTCAGTGTCTTATTGTGTCAGTTTTCAAACCAGGGATCTTACCCTGGGTGTATGCAAGACTTTCCAAAGGGCACATCCCCATGGATAATTTGAAGGGAATCAAGTTCCAGATCTTCACCTTCTTTCCCCAAACTGACCCAACACCTGAGACTTGTCTGCTGCAGTTCTCCTTTCCTATCTCCCTTTTTGCAATCACCCTTTACTAACTGCATACTGTCACCCATTCTCAATCTTATATTGCCCCAACGTGTAAAAACGTTTAGAGTACCAAATAAAAGGATAATTCAACCCTTCCTCTAATCAAGTTTCCATAACCACCACCAGCTTTCTAAGAAATAAATTTCTAATACAAACTTACCTTAATAGTATCATACGTTTTAATATGTTTATGACATTTTCATCAATTGTGTCCTAATAATCATCTCAATAGTAACTCAATCCAGAAGGAAGAAAACAATGGTCTTATTATCAAAGGAAATTAAGAAAATGACATGACATTTATATGCATGTAAATATACAAACCCACACATTGCAGAAAAGGAAGGATATAAGGTGAGCAATATGAAACTCTCAAGCACAACAATGGGATAAAAGTCTGTGGGAGAAGTGGAATGAACATCAAATTCTAAGAAGAAAAGAAGCACGATGTAAAATTTCCCAATGCTAAAATGCTTTATTTTAAATCAATGATGGTGGATATTAAACTACTGCAATTTTTATGTTCCATTGGATAAAATTCAGTGATTTAACATTTTCAACTATCGCTATTTACAACAAGCCAGCCATCACGTCCAATGCAACCATTTAAACTTCTGATAAAACAAAAATTAGGTAATGACTTAATTATTTTACACCGGGGCTTTTTAAAAAAGTTTGACCTCTCTGACCTCTGACAGAGCTTCAAACGTCATCTAGGCGTCCTCCCTGAAACTCAAGCCAAGCCCAGGAAGTTTCAGCAGCAAGAAAGGAAACCCCTTCTTTACGCACCCAACTCAAACCTTTCCCCATACCCCGGGTCCTCGCGTACCCCCACAACCGCCCTCTTTAATCCTAATCCCTCCATTTAGCCTCCGCCCCGCCTCCTCTCCCCTTTGCCCCCGCCCCCCCATCCTGTGACGCCTGCGCACTTGGCCCCTCCGCAGCCGCCGCTGCTGTGTCATGGCGGAGCGGAAGTCCCCGCCCTGTGGGAACCGGCGTCCTCCGGGTGGGAGGCGCCGCTCGCGGCTGGCTCCCCTTCCAACCATAACCCTTTTGCTCTCCCACTCTAGAGGGGTCCCCTACCCTGGACTCGCCCAAACACTTCGTAGTCCACGGATTTGAGTGGCCCGGCGGTCGACATGGCGGCGGCGAGCCCTCGGCCGAGGAGACGGAGCGGGGTTCCGGGCACGGCGACTGCGGCGGCCGCCAGAGGGAGGGGGCACATGGGCCCGCCTGGTGCACCCTGCGCCTGTCACCGGCCCGGGACCGGAGCGCGCCGGGGTCACGCGTCGGGAGCGGCAAATGAGACGGCGGGGCCGCCGGGAGGGACGCGCTGCGGCCTCCGAGGCTCCGCTCCCGGCTTTGCCCGTCCCAGAGTGGGGACGATGCGCCCTCTACGCGCGCTCCCCGAGATTCAGTTCTCGGTGTTTAAATAGAAGCTGGATGCTCTGCCCAAAAGAGTATTGCTTACTCCACACACATCCCAGGTTCATTAAAGTATGTTTGACAAGTAAAAAATGTATGTTTTTGGTGTACCAGGTGATGCTTTGATACATGGATGCGGTATGAAATGATTAAATCAAGTAAATTAACATACCTCTCATCTCATATACTTAGCACTTAATTTAATGGAGGGAACATTTAAGATCTCAGAATTTCTAAGTATACGGTATCATTAACTATAGTCACCATGCTGTACAATTAATCTCCAGAACTGCCTAACTGAAATTTGCACCCTTTGACCAATGTTCCGCATTGCCAACCCATCTTCTCTACCCCTACTGCCCCCTTCCATCCTGGCAAGATTTGCTTTTGAAATAAATGGTCTACTAGCCTGGTGGTTGAAAGTTAACGAGGTAATTGTGAAATGTTTAGGCGACTGCCAAATCTATCTAATGATTTTGAGTCAACTTTTAAAATGAGGTCTGCATCCTCTTCAGCTCTTCGGTAGAGTCAGAAAGGCTTTGGGCTTGAATCCATATTCCAAATGGATTGTGACATTTTCTGGGACAAGAAACTTTTTAAAAATCCACACTTTTTATGCTAGTGGAAACCAGGACCAAAAGATTGTAGTCAATCTTGTCCGCCGTTCAGTCATATCGGGTTTTTAATGGTCTTGATCATTGATAAGCAACATTCCAATTATCTAGAAGGTTAGAACTTTTAGATAAAGGAAGAACTTTATTTCCTGGTAAACTATTATAAAGTTTTATTTAAAACAAGTCACCACTCCAAAGGATCTGGCTACGGCTATTGATAATCTGCTGGCTTCTAAAATTCCAAATCCTTTGACTCGTCAAAATTTGCATTTCTCAGTTTGTTCCTTGGCCTCGATACCTTTACGTGTTTCTCTGCATCTGGCCACGCAGTTAAAATAATCCACTGCAATCTGACTCAATATTATGTGCCAATTCTATTAGGGAACGCCAAAAATCATCTAAAACTTTGTTGGAATGTGGTTAAATGATCTTTAAAATATATTCTGGAGATACCATCTGGATAGTTTCAAGTAATGAAGGTCTTGGTTTATTTCAGGTCTCATGCAGACTCTAGAAACAACACAAAATAGAACCTTTGCTCTTGGGTCTACTTTACCTGCAATAACTCTTCTGCTCCAAAATCTTCCTGTAACTTTCTCAGTTGCCTTTGCAAGGTCTTACTGGATTTCATCTTACTTATGTAGTGTATCTTTCCCACTAGTACAATCAACCTCTATATCCCTGGGTTCTGCATCCATGGATTCAACCAACCACAGGTGGAAAATATTTTTTACTAAACTATATTCTTCACTGAACATGTATAGACTTTTTCCTTATTATTCCCTGAGCAATATAGTATAACAGCTATTGTAATAGCATTTACATTGAAAGAGGTGTTATAAGTAGAGATTATAGAAGTGGAATATTATGGAAGTCTTGGGAAGTCTTGCAACAAATTCCCCTGCAGATATGAAGGAACAACTGTTCTTTGTCTTCTAAGTAGTGCAAATAAGATGGAGTCAGTCAGGCTAGGGCCACCACTACACGGCTGGTGGTCTGGTCAGTTCAGGTCCTCCTTGAACTTTACCTCAGGTTTCCTATCCTTGTTGTTTTGTAAATTCAGCTTTAACCTAAAAGTGTACAACTTGAGTAGTCTGAGGTGATTGATTTAGAAGAGTAACTTTTGAATTAGAAATGTTGCTTTGGGTCATGGGTTATACCAATTATTATTTATTATAGGTCAGGGGTTATGCTAATTATTTTTGTTTAAAATAAGCATCAATTGTTGTTGTTTAAGATAAGGCTTAACATGGGTTTTGCTTCAACTTTTATGTAGAAAAGGAACTAGAAGGGCAGAACCGTCAGGGAGAGGCTACTCTCACTGTTCTCCAGAACTGCTGGCCTTCTGATAATAAAGCTTGCTGGACCTAATCCCTATCTCTGCATTTGGCTGACAGTGAAGGCAGCCAGACCCGCTTTGTCTGGTAACAGTAGTAGAATCTCAAAGGAGCTCAACCTACATCCTGTCACTGATTGGGAAGGTTGACATTTTCCTTTCTTAATCAATCTTTTGACTTTTCTCCACATTTACCTAAGAGTACCCCTGCCAATTATTATGTGGCTTTATTTTAATTTTAGAAGTGCTATAGCAACAATTGACATTTGCTTAGCTGAAAAATGTACTGTGTCTGCCAACAGTAGAACATTAGCAAATGGAAATTTTTATGTACCATTTTAGCATGGATTGCCAATAAAATTTCTAAGACCTCAGAAATTTTAAGCAAATGTTTCTAATATTTAAGCTCATTTTAAATAACAGAAACATTTAGAGAAATTTTGAAAATATAATTTTAAAATTATTCATAATCTTAAGACAAATATTATCATTTTCTGTATTCCTTTTATATGTACAGTATGCTTTAAGTTGTTACAGCATGAACTCAACTTTTCTTTTCCATGCTGTGGTCTTTCCAATGAATCTTTTAATAATTTCATGATATTGGTAGATATAACCACAGATTTACCTACTAAGTCCTTGTTGTTATACATTTAGGCTGTTTCTCAGTTTTTGTTACAATAAAAAAAAATATTGTGAACTGGGTGCAATAACTCATACCTGTAATCCAAGCACTCTGAGAGACCAAGGTGATCTCAGAAGTTCAAGAGCCTGAGCAATAGTGAGACCCTGTCTCTACTAAAAATAGAAAAACAAGCCAGGCATTGTGGTGGGCACCTACAGGTGCTACTCAGGAGACTAAGGCAAGAGGATTGCTTATGCCCAAGAGTTTGAGGTTGCTATGAGCTATGATGACACCATGGCCCTCTATCCAGGGCAACAGAGTGAGACTCCATCTCAAAAAAATAAAATAAAATTATATAGATGTGTGTGTGTGTGTGTGTGTGTGTGTTTAGTAAAGGAAATATACACGTATGTAGCTTTCTTCCCATTTTTTTTTTAAGACAAAGTCTCATTATGTCACTCTTGGTAGAGTGCCATGGTGTCACAGCTCATAGCAACCTCAAGTTCTTGGGTTCAAGCGATTCTCTTGCCTCAGCCTCCCAAGTAGCTGGGTCTACAGGTGCCTGCCACAATGCCCAGCTATTTTTTGTTGCAGTTGTCATTGTTGTTTAGCTGGCCCCAGCCAGGGTCAAACCTGCCACCCTTGGTGTATGTGGCTGGCAATGTAACCACTGTGCTACAGGTGCCCAGCCTGCATGATACATATTGCCAAATTGTTTTTCAAAGGCCATACCAATTTAAATATGTAACTACTCACACTGTATGAGTGATCATTATTTGTTTATGTTTTTGTTTTTGTTTTTGTTTTTTTTTTTGCAGTTTTTGGCCAGGGCTGGGTTTGAACTCGCCACCTCTGGCATATGGGTCCAGTGTCCTACTCCTTTGAGCCACAGTCACTGCCCCATTATTTGTCTTTTTATGCAAACAAATGTATGCAGACTTTTCATAGATAATGCATGATTGAATTATATGAAAAGTTTTGGTTTTGTGACCTGAGCAACAGCTTTGGAATAACTAGCCTCTGTGTTGCTGCTAGCTGAATTCAAAACCTACTACTACCCTTCCTAAACTGTTGAAAACAATTTGTGATATAGGGTCATGTTTAATACATAGAAAAGGAAGATCCTTCCTACATGATATAGGTGTAAAAGATGACCAGGCACTAGAACATGTGAAATGGGGATAGACCATACAGTCTCTGAGTCCAAATGGCCTTTGAACTGAGGAGATACCACCTTAAATCTCTAATTCCTCACCATAAAGGGTAAGTTGAAAGTGATTACTAAAGTCATTTCTTAGAAATTTGGTATTAAGATAGAAATGCTTCCAAGAGATGAACCCAGCTACTTGCTGTCATTTGATCTTCTTCAATAAGCCCATCAGGAACATTCAGTGGGAGGAAAAACTCCCTATTTAACAAATGGTGCTGGGTGAACTGGCTGGTGAGATGTAGAAGACTGAAATTGGACTCACACCTTTCACCATTAACAAAGATAGACTCTCACTGGATAAAAGGTTTAAACTTAAGACATGAAACTATAAAAATACTAGAAGAGAGTACAGGGAAAACACTTGAAGAAAACAGCATGGGAGGATATTTTATGAGGAGGATCTCCTGGGCAGTGGAAGCAACACCAAAAATATATTACTGGGTTTTGATCAAACTAAAAAGCTTCTGCACAGCCAAGAACACAGTACATAAAGCAAGCAGACAGCCCTCAGAATGGGAGAAGATATTTGCAGGCTATGTCTCTGACAAAGGTTTAATAACCAGAATCCACAGAGAACTCAAACGTATAAGCAAGAAAAGAACAAGTGATCCCATCTCAGTGTGGGCAAGGGACTTGAAGAGAAACTTCTCTGAAAAAGACAGACACATGGCCTACAAATATATGAAAAAATGCTCATCATCCTTAATCATAAGAGAAATGCAAATCGAAACTACTTTGAGATATCATCTAACTCCAGTAAGATTAGCCCATATCATAAAATCCCAAAACCAGAGATGTTGCCATGGATGTGGAGAAAAGGGAACACTTCTGCATTGCTGGTGGGAATGCAAGCAAACTAATATGTTCCTTTTGGGAAAATGTTTGGAGATCACTTAGGGATCTACTAGGTGTATATCCAGAAGACCAAAAATCACTTTATAACAAAAATATTTGCACCAGAATGTTTATTGCAACCCAATTCATAATTGCTAAGTCATGGAATGATCCCAAGTGCCCATTGACCCATGAATGGATTAATAAATTGTGGTATATGTACACCATGTAATATTATGCAACTTTAAGAAAGATGGAGACTTTACCTCTTTTATGTTTACATGGATGGAGCTGGAACATATTCTTAGCAAAGTATCTCTAGAATGGAATAAAAAGTATCCAATGAAGCCCTACCCTGAAACCAATTTATAAGCACTCACACTTCCATTATGTGAGCATTCACTTCCATTATGAATGCTATAACCCAACTACAGCCC